AGGTAGCGAAGAAGATTCTACGCCTTTGGCGAAGCAGCATATGTTAAAGGTTTTGATCATTTGAAAATTGATTCGAAATTTTGGTAGGTTGGTTCTTACCTCAGTTTTGTTCCATTCAGATACCGGAACATAGAGTTTCAAAAGTGAGGCACACATTAGCAAGACGAGGCATGGAAACTGAAAAGATGGTGCATGAAACTGTGTTACGAGCTGTAAGCATTACATCTAATCGCTCATTTCACTTATATTTCATTTCGTTGAATTGGATTGTTGCATGACGTGAGTCCGATTCAGAGCGCAATCGTGGCCGCGCAGAAGTCCGACTTACCACCGCTCCGCAAATCCTCGAAACGTCAACGGATGCCGGATTCTTCGCAGTTGCGTGTTGCAGAAGAAGGAGTAGATTTTGCTAAAATTGGGAGAGTGAAGAAAAGTCGACCTCCGTCAATTTTTGATATAGCCAACTTTGAATACGTTCTCGAAATGTCGCTTCGCCGTCCGAGAGCATTTGTAGATCTATACAAGGTCTGAATCATTCTTTTTTTTTTCGGAAGAAGATCTGACGTGTTGCTCTATTTTTTGTTCTTTTAGGCAATGAAGTACCAGTACAGAATTATTGTAAAGCGTCGCTGGGTTGAAGCGAATAGAAAATTGTATGATAGGGCTCAGTTTGATAAGGTGATCTTGCGGTTCCCGACCCTCACATTTCATACCGATTTCCAACATCATAATTGTTTGCAGTTTGTAATGGAATGCAATCGTTCCGAAGTAGAGCTGTTGGAGAAAACAAAACTCTTAAAGGCTGAAAAAGATATGGAAAGTATTCTAGGCGTCAGCAGAGGGGAAGCTATCAAAATGGAAAAATTGTGAGCTCGTCATTCATGATATTTCTTATTTTCCTCTTTAAATCTTGTCTTCTCACATTCTAACCCTTTTTCTGCCTACTCCCTTCCTCTTATCTCCAAATGTTCATTTTTCTTCCAGTGCTGTCAAGGACTTAGCACACTGGTACAATATGAGCGCAAGATATGCCAGGGAAGCTGAAGTTCATGCTAAGGAAACTCTGAAAGATGCGAGCAGGCTCGATGATGCTATTTGGGAAGTGATGAAGCA